AATATGTACCTATCTATTTAAAAATTAAATAATAATTCAATGCATCTCAATATAAAAAAATATGCATTGCATACAGAATAAAATTAGGAAAGATTTTAAAATATTGAAAAAAAATATTTGGGGTATGTTACTTTGATTAACAGTAAGAGTAACGATTACATAAAATAAAAACAAAATTATAATGATATCAAACAATTAAGTAAACATAATAGTTAGGCAGTAAATATAGTCAGTGGTCGCCTAGTGGTTAAAAGACCCGCCTCTCATGCACAAGGGCGCGGGTTCGATCCTGGCAAGTACCAATGTGATTTTTCCGAGTGATATGTACTTTCTAAGAGTATTTACATATCACTAATTAATGCATTCCCAAAGAGGGTTGATGTCAGGCAGGCGGCCGATCGTAAAAACAATTAGTCAACAAACTATTCACACATGTAAGGCAGACCCTGGCTATAGCTGGGAAATTGCCAGGTAGAAGAATAATTAGGCAGTAAAATGAGACAGGTCACAGAATTTGTACATGACTAAGGAATTTTTCACATATTAACCATATTTTAACCAACATTCATGGCATACTGAAAGCTCTAAACGCTTCACACTTTAAACTATAACTCAAGTTTGATGAGGTTTATATGTATGATAGACAGATATTGTGATGAAGGTATTATAACATACACGCGTGGCTCAACACATTGTTGAAGGTAGTTAGAGTTTTAGCAACACGTTTAATAATCAGTATTAGTGAGACTCAGAGACGGGTTGAGAGACGAAACTTCATTAGAAATTAATTTTAAGTGAATACACTGGATTATAATAAGGTCTACTCTAAATGACTAATACTTTGGACTTCCTGAACAATTCACATTACTATGAGTGGTGAATTTTCTTAAAACCTTGTTAATGTTGATGACCAGTCCCGAGGTTTAAAGAACTGTATTAAAAAAGACCATTTCCAATAAGATTTATATGTTATTAATGATTTTATATTCATGCATAAAACTAAAATACTGTGAGAAGTATAAAAAGATGTTGTTTAATAAACAATATTTATTACAAAACTAACTAATTTCTTACATGTAAAAAAGTGTATTTGTATTAAAATATAAAACATTACATGTAAGAATTTCTAAATATATACATACTAGCTTTTGCCGCGACTTCGTGCGCGTGGAATAGTGACTTCCGGCAGATTTTTGGTTTTTCCCACATAGTTCCCGTTCTTGCGGGGTTTTCGGAATGGTCAAGTTCCCGTAGAATTTTCAGGATAAAACCTATGTTTTTTTATTCACAATGATATACTCTTAACCAACAACATATTTATTTGTTTATTTGAATAAAGATTAATATTATTATGTTTATACAACTTAAACAAATTATTTCGACCAAATTAGGTACCATAAAAACGGTTTTTGTGAGTTAATCTTAAAAGATAGACATATACTGTCACGGACTGTTTTTTAGATCATTAAAAGAGCTATAATTCTTTAATACATATGTTTTGTGTATCTTGAACCGTTTTCACGGCGCACGCAACGGAAGGCTTCAAAGATGAAATAATTTCTCCCGTTTTTTACACATTTACCACTATATCTCTGCTCCTATTGGTCGTAGCGTGATGTTATATAGCCCAAAGCCTTTCTTGATAACTGGACTATCCAACAAAAAAAGAATTATTTAATTCGAAACAGTAGTTTCGGAGATTAGCGCTTTCAAACAAACAAACAAACTCTTCAGCTTTATAATATTAGTATAGATATTTCGCATTGAGTAGTTACTGATATCCCTACTAATATTATAAATGCGAAAGTAACTCTGTCTGTCTGTCTGTTACGCTTTCACGCCTAAACCACTGAACGGATTTTAATGAAATTTGGTACAGACATAGAGTTGACCTTGAGAAAGAACGTAGGATAGTTTTTATCCCAGACTTTTGAAAGGTTCTCTTGGAAACGCGATGTAACCATACTCCACGCGGGTGAAGCTGCGGGCGGAAAGCTAGTAATAAATATACCTAGAACAAAATTCATTTCCACGATCAGGAGACGACCCTGCGACCTTCGATATAAAGCGTTCCAGTCGCTTTGACAAACAAACTACTGACTACATGATGATATCTAAGACTTTCGAGAGTACTCATTTAAATGAAACTAATATTATAGGAATACAACGTGTAATTTTACTATTATTTATGTAACAGTGATCACGGTTTCTGTAAACTAACCAAAACGTCGTGAGTATGTAGTTTATAATAATAAAATAACGCGTAGTAATCCGAAAATAATATTAGTTTCATTTAAGTCAATCTATCTTTTTACTTATGTAACAAATCGTTTGATTATCAGTTAGGTTTAGAGGGTAGACCCTAGTTGTAGTCAGTTACTACAGCTCGAACATGAGCTGGCTCGATCGTGGAAGTACCACCCTCTCACAGAAGATCGGCGTGAAGTAGCCTTCAGTGGTTGCGCTTCGTTCGATGAGTGAGAGAGCCGGTTGCCTTTTCCCTATTCCCTCCCTTTCCTGCTATTTCCCTATTCCCACCCCTTCCTTTTCCTCAAAAACCAAGGTCGGCAACGTCTATGGGCGATGGTCAATACTGCCCATGAGCTAGGCCGTCTGCTCGTTTGCCACCTTTGACATAAAAAAAAGTTAGTATGTTCATCAGAATAATTTTTCCTAAATGTTGTCTTTCTGTCACAAAACTCCACTCTTATACATATTTTCCAAGACAATTTACATGTCATACACTTTCAAATGATAGTATTAACGTAGACTTATGTATGAAAAACTAAAAACGCAGAGTATTCAGTGTGGCGATACCAAATAATATTTTGAATTACATGACTACATAAACCAAGACAGTACATATGAATAAAGAAAATATACTTGTCAATACATCATACCTTTTATAATAAAATTGCAATTTTGTTGATATTATGGCAAAATGAGCATTTCACTACTTAGCCTCGGTACAAGCTGGTACGAACAAAATGCCAAAATTTGCATATAGATAGGCTATAGGGAATAAAATTATGACTAAGTTATTGTATACCTATATTTTACGAACATTGAAAATGGGACTTAATTTTTGTATTAATTTCTGGATATGTTGATGTATTATTACATTTTTAGTTCCTAAATAATAGAGTTTCATCTTCGTTATAAGATGAAGTACTTCTCCAAAGAATCCAACTATGATTATTTAAAGTCTGATACCAATTCTGCAAAAAGTTTCGGAGCTTGAAAATTTACGGTCACAGAGACATACAGATACAGAAGTCTCTAAACAATCTAAAAATTTTGGACTTTGGTACATAATGTATAATTTTATGTTTAGAATAATTAAACTTACGGTCCAGAAAACAGACAAAGCAAATACTCAAAATATAAGTACCTGTTTACTAAATAATGTATGGTCACACTACATACGAACCGACTCTCGTTTGTTATCTAATAACTTACGTGAATACCATATGTTTATATTTAGTAAAAATGCTGACCATTAAAATAAACATTGGTAAAATCTCAAAAAGTGTTATTTATTTTTTCACAGCCCAATTATTTCTACTATTCATCAAAGCACTACAAAAAATTAACATATGTTCTAATTTTTTATACCCTACTTTGTACTGATAATAAAATACGCAAGTTCACTTTAAAACCAGATGAATTTTTAGAACTATGCTTACAAATTATGATACCGCATCTTATTAATCTCCAAAAAAAAAAATTTTTTAATTTTCAGTACAGAATTTACAATAAGAAAAGGATTCAAATTCAACAATTTTTCAAACAGATCAATTGCATCGCTGTTACTCTTTTGATAAACTTGTCGACAGGGGCTTTACTTCTATACTTCTATGGACTACGGAATAACTTTTACAAGAATCTATACCTACAAATACATACATATTATAAAAGCGAAAGTAACTATGTCTTTTACGCTTTCACGAATAACCCGCTCAAACGACTTTGATGAATTTGGTGAAATGGAAAGACAGAACTTAGTATAATTATTAAGATATAAATAAAAATCTCAAAATGATAATTATGCTGTCTAAAATAATTCGTGATTTAAATGCAGAAAATGTAGTTGTGTAATAGTTTTAATAAAATACGGTTTAAGTTATATTGAATAGACACTATAAGTAATTTCATCAAAAAATTTCCTTTCTTTATCTAAAAATGAATAATCGGTACAAAAGACAAACAACGCTCATAAAATATTATAAATTATATAATATGTAAAGTACATTAATAACATAGGTAAATTACAAAACCCTAATCAAATATATGAAAAGGGAAAATAATTATCTCATTCAAATAATACGACTATTAAAGTAACCATCATGATCCAATACCAATGTATATTTTAATAGACAAAAATGAAACTCGGTTTTCGGAAATTGGTGTAAAATATATTTTTTAAATATGTTATAGCCTTAGCCATCTGTTTAAAGTAAAAATTAAATTTTAAAATTATTTAACACTAGAGAGTACTATAGACTATAGTTAATTTGATAATCTGTTTTGAGGATGACATCACTAGACGTTACTCTACAATTTTAGAATATCTGTGGTACGTAGACCAAGCGAAGCAAGCGGAAGAGATGCACGATATTTGTACTCTGTTGAAATAATACGTCACCTCGTATATTTTAGTGGAATAATATAATTATTAGTAATTTGGATTACTTTATCGTTACATAATAAAACAGTAAGTAAAATATTGTAGTTATTTACTGTGTTTACTTGTGAGCTGTTGATGCGTTGTTTGTCCATAGTGAACTTCTATACAAACGCATAATATAACCTATCTTGGCTTTGCATAAATCTATGATTTTATCGCGTTGTTGATGATGCAGAAGCCCGCTTTACGATAGTCATAACGTAAAGTAATTATAAAATCAGTGAAAACGTCATCAGTCCGAAGCAATCGGTCGCATAGCGTTTGCCGCGCTCCTGTGTGTTTACTGAATCTTACTAACAATATTGCAGGCAAAATGCCGGCGGCGCGAGGCGTAAAGCGGACAGCGTCCAAGTCTTCAGCGGCCACGGCATCGACGGGGCCCAAAAATAAGAAAAAACGTGGAGGTCAGTGCTTGAAACATTTTATAGCAGTTGTTTTCTTTACATTTCCATCCTACGTCAATGACCTGTCAAACCATGATGGCGGGAAATGCGGAGCGTACAGCATAATATTATTGGCGCGTTTTTACTATTACCTTTACACAGCTATGATTTATTTATAATGCGTTTATAATTTTATGTTTATTATAACTATTAAAGAGTTGTATTCTTTAAAGTTACGTAAGCAATGTTTTAGAAGCCATATTTTTGAGGTTAGTCAAATTATCGGAAGTAATTACGCGTACGCCATTCTATTTTGAAATATGTCTATGTTTACAATAGCCTTGATTTGATTCATCATTAGCGTTAGCTATATAAAAAAATATTTATATTAGTATTAGGATGTATATTTGACAACAACATTGTAGGTTTTGTGATAATAATGGAAAAATTATAGTGTTAGGTAATAAAAACTAACTCATAGATAAACTGAATGTAATTGTGACTTAACATTATGCAAAAATAACAATGAGATTTTGATAAATAAAAAAACTTTTATTTATCGCGATCTATTTAACTATATTTCCTGATGTATAAATTTACATTTCTCTATTTAAAAATCATATTTTTGTAGTCCATTAAAGTACCAAGTTTGTATTTAAAGTTATTCCGATTCAATATGAATAACTCGGTATCTAATTAATAGCCTACTCTCAAATATCTTCTTTATATATAAAGACACAGATTTAATAATTTATGTTTTTTCATCACCAGCAATTCAATTGGAGATACCAGTTCCACCGAAACGTAAAGGATGTGTGATGACATGCGGCCAGGGAGATGTGGGGCAGCTCGGGCTCGGAGAAGATGTCATGGAAACAACAAAGTGAGGATAATGTATTATATTAGAAAGTTAGACTCGGTATTAATATAAGGTATATATAGAAATTAACTAGCTGACCCGGAAAACATTGTTTTGCAATATCAAAAGTAGGGATTTGTTAAAATTTAGTATTTAAAAATATATAAGTAAAAATTTGGGGTTTTATATATTTTCTTATGCCACATGATAAAAAAATAAAAACAAAACCTTTCGTCCAAATTAAACAACTAAAAATTAGGGTTGAGCAACCCTTATGTCTTAGGGGTATGAAAAAATTGGCCGATTCTCAGACCTACTCAATATGCTCACTAAATTTCATGAGATTTGGTCAAGCCATTTTGGAGAAGTAGGGGAACAAGCATTGTCATATGCGAATTTTATATATTGTATATGATATGATGATGATGTACCTTTATATTTAATGATATTGATTTATATATAGTAATATATTTATTAACATTTCCAGGTTCAAAACAGTTTCGGTGCTCGGTAACAAGATAGTTGATGTAGTGGCGGGGGGAATGCACACTGTGGCGCTCGATAGTGATGGAAAAGTGAGTAGACATAATAAATATTAGTATACAGTTATATAGAAACTAAGAAATGTATTCAATATATTTAAAATATGCAGGCTTCTGTATGAATTATATGGTAATTATATGAGGGTTTTTGAACAAAACCTTGAAATATATATAATGTATTTTATACATACACAAGGTTGTGGTAGCTCAATGGTTAAAGGCCCGACTCTCATGCATGAGGTCGCGGGTTCGATACCTGACAAGTATCAATGTGATTTTTTAAAGTCTTTATGTACTTTGTAAGAGTATTTAGACATCACTGACAGATGAAGGAAAACATTGTGAGGAAACATGGACTTCAATATCAGAATTATAAGTTTGAAATCACCAACCCGTTTTGAGCAAGCGTGGTGATTAATGCTCAAACCTTCATATGAGAAGAGACTCAGCAGTGGGCTCTGATAGGCTGATGATGATTATTTTGTATATACTCTTAAAGTACATATGACTCGGAAAAATCACCTTGGCACTTGCCAGGATCGAATCCGCGCCCTCGTGTATGAGAGGCGGGCCTTTTAACCACTAGGCCACCACTGACTTCATATATATTATTATTTTCAGGTATGGACATTTGGTTGTAATGATGAAGGAGCCCTAGGCCGTCCTACGTCAAGTGACACAGACGAGGGTACTCCCAAACAAGTGACTCTACCGCTGCCAGCGGTTGCTGTGTCAGCCGGAGACTCACATTCAGCTGCATTGTTAGAGAACGGAGATGTTTTTGCATGGGGATCATTTAGAGTGAGTTAAATTTATTTATAAACTAGTTTTACCCAAGATGTTACGATCTTATCATTATTAAAGAATTTTAATATATTAAAGAATTAAATCTATATATAATTACTAATAATCTATATTTTATAATTATTAAGCTATTGATGTTTATATATATTTCAGGATTCTCACGGCAGTATGGGTTTAGTGGTTCGTGGTAGAGAAGGCAAGCCTTGCAAGGAACCAGTTCGAGTTGACATCGGAGAATCAGCAGTGGGAGTCGCCTCGGGTGGAGATCATCTAGTTATATTGACGGTATTGTATATTATATATATAAAGTAGTATTATTATAATATAAGTTATGTATTGTATGAAAATTAAAATACAGTACCAAAAACATTATAAATTACTTTAAAGTATGGATTAATATGGATAAATATATGAAATTGAAAATATCTGTGATATGTAAATAACCACTCCGTTGACTTGAAATATATTTTTTTCAATTTCTATTACAGTCTGTGTATTTTACATTTGTTCTGTCTATGAAAAAGCTTCATTACTTTTGATAGGACTTTCACTATAGCATAGTTTATGTAAACAACAGTATCTTAGACTACTTCTATTATAGAAATTTAACATTTATATATTTGTTAAACAAATCAAATAAAATAAATATATATATATATAATTGTCATATTTCCAGAACACAGGATCAGTATACACAATGGGTTGTGGTGAACAAGGCCAGTTGGGACGGCTAGCACAGAGGTCTGCCTCCAGGGATGCTAGGCAGGGATTCAGTTAGTATTTTCTTATCTTCATATATATAATACTAGGATTTGAAACTTATATATCACAATTCTTAAAGAATTTTATGAATATTTTATATATATTCTGGTAAATATGTCATTCTGAAGTCATAGAAATGTTTCAAGAAACTCATATCTTTAGTATATATATGAAACAACAAACATTCAAATAGTTTCTCATTCCTAAGTAGGAAAGTATAATTTATCACTCAGTAGTCGATCATAAAGACTAAAAAGATTTACAATTAGGTACAAAACATAAATTTGATTAATCATATAGATTTATAAAATTGTGGTTAATAAAATATATAATTATATATATATAGTTTGATGTCCAGTTTCAGACTTGTTCTTTAATGTTCAGCATTACTTACAGTTAAATCTTACAAAATACCTGAACCTGCTATTTATGCTGCTGTTTTCATAAACAAATTGATACAACAGTACAATGGATCAATATTATAATTAATTATAATCAGTCATTTCACCAAATTTCATTAAAATCAGTAGTTTAGGCGTGAAAGCGTAACAGACAGACAGAGTAACTTTCGCACTTATAATATTACTAGGGATTATAATTAGTACTTCACAGATGGCGCCACGTGTAATGCAATACATTTTACGTATTAATTAATATTTATTATTAAATACTTGCAGGCGCTCTGTTAGTTCCGTCTAAAGTGATCTTAAAGGGTGGCGCGTGTCGCGTGTGGGCCGGCTATCACGCTACATTCGTTATGGACGCGACCAGCGACAAGATGTTCGCGTGGGGACTCAATAACTATGGACAACTGGGTTTGTATACACACAGACAGACACACACATACACATATTTGTATACAGGGTGACTGGTGAATTACTATCAATATTTAAGGAGAATACTCGGTACATGATTCTCATTCGAATTATGTAAAAAAAATAGGCACTTAATTTTTGACAAAATTTCCGTATAAATAAGTAAAGTGTTGACACGTTCCAAGTGTTCAAGTGTGGACGCGTGCGGCGGCGTGCTGATACAACACTACGTCACGACACGCGTCTGTGTGAGTGGCAGTGTATACCTAATCTGTAGGGTGTTCACACGATGCGTAATTAATTACATAACTTTTGGTTAACTTTACTTAGAAGTTTATTAATATTTATGTTATATTAATTTTTATTTCGTCATATATGATCGTCAAATATCACGTCCTCAAATATCGATAGTAATTCACCAGTCACCCTGTATATGTATTGAATATAATTTTTTTTTTGCGAACTTTGTACTTTTTATAGTGACAAAAAAATTAGTTCTATGGTTTTTTAAAGTAGACTTGTTAAAATTTTTGTGCATGCGGAGTTTACCTTTAAGTAGTTGTTACACTGTACCCTAGATTATAGATACCTATTTTACTTTGTATTGGTGTAAACAATTGGCGGTAAACCTATTAAATAATAATTATTATTATTATGGACAAAATAAATAATAAAAAAACACTTTAAGTGATCAAAGTTTGTCATAAAAATCATAACTAGTAGGTGCCGTACTAGGCCACAATAATATTAATTGCTCAACCCAACAAGGCTCTTCATAGTATCTATTCTTATTTCCTAACACTTGAAATTTAGAGGGTTTCCAAATGTATTAATAAATGAAATACAATTAAATCTTCTAGCATTTTACCATCGATCTCCATGTTAGTTTCTTTGTTATATATATAATGTTATATATCTGTGCAGGTATAACGGGTGAGAAACGCAAAACAGCCATATACTCTCCCACGGAGTGTGACGGCATGCGAGGCAGGCGGTGGAGCGACGTGAGCGCGGGGCAGCACCACTCACTGGCCGTGGACGAGCGGGGGCTGGCCTACAGTGTGGGCCGCTGTGAATATGGACGGTGAGACACACACACACATATATATATATATATACAGGGTGACTGGTGAATTACTATCGATATTTGAGGACGTGATATTTGACGATCATATATGACAAAATAAAAATTAATATAACATAAATATTAATAAACTTCTAAGTAAAGTTAACCAAAAGTTATGTAATTAATTACGCATCGTGTGAACACCCTACAGATTAGGTATACACACACACTCACACAGACGCGGCGGCGGCGTAGTGTTGTATCAGCACGCCGCCGCACGCGTCCACACTTGGAACACTTGGAAAGTGTCCACACTTTATTTATTTATACGGAAACTTGGTCAAAAATTAAGTACCTATTTTTTTTACATAATTCGAATGAGAATCATGTACCGAGTATGCTCCTTAAATATTGATAGTAATTCACCAGTCACCCTGTATATAGGGGAAAGAGTCAAAAAAGTTAATAGTTAGTAGTGTCCGATCGTAGCTTCGGCTACCTTCGGCCAAAAAATCGGCCGGGTTTTGAGCCGAAGCCGAAGATCCGAGCAACCATCGGAATTGAACGAACTGTTATTTTGAATTTTCTAATATTTTCTAAACTGTGCATTTAATTGACAAACATTTAATTATTTATTAAGACATTGGTGTTTGTTCATTTTATTTATTAGTCTAGTTACGGCTTAGTCGAGTAAACAAAGACTGATTGATTGGTCTGATTATGATTTATGAATTACTTAATAAATAAATGATTATTTTTATAAGAATAAATCACGAACTTTTTATCATCTTTGAATCCACTTCTATAACATTAATTGTAGCTTGTAGACAAGAGCTTATAATCCTTCGGCTTCGGCCGAAAATAGACCTTTGGTCGGACACTAGTATTTAAACAGAAATATGTAAATATTTCAGCAGTGAAGCGACACCCTGAAATCCAAAATATGTTCAAATTAACATTGAATAAAATTAACAATATCTGATACAAGTATATTAACAGACATCCATACTTAAATTTCTATTATTATTGCTTACTTTAACATACATAATATATTAATCTAGTATATATATGTTTCCAGGCTAGGTCTAGGCCGAGAGGGCGACGCGGAATCATGGGAAGCTATACCCAAGCTACAACAGGATCAATGCGTGTGTGTATCAGCTGGTACAAGCAGCTCGTTTGCTGTCACTCAAGCTGGGCGGCTGATGTCGTGGGGGGCGGGCGGGGAGGGCCAGCTGGGCGGCGGGGCGGCGGACGACCAGCTTGAACCAGCACTAGTACAGCTTGAGGGACGAGCTGTTAGAGTGACGGCGGGCGGGCAGCATACGGTCGTGCTGGTTGTGAGTATATACAGACATACATATATTACTTCTTCTTCTACCTGGCAATTTCTCAGCTTTAGCCAGGGTCTGCCTTGAATGAATACTGATCATAAGAATAAAAAATGTTCCATGATAACTATCATACAGTGATTGTTAAACACATTAATATATGAAAATATTTTCATTCATACAGGAGGATCCCACAGCGCAAACAGAAGTTACACCGACTCCGGAGAGTGAAAAAGAAGGAGAGAATACGGAGAGTACAGAAGATAAGAAGAAACAGAATAGAAGACAGAAGAAACAAGAACAAGATGAAGAAATAACGTCTACATCGAGCGCGCAGAACACAGAGGTTAAAGATGAACCTGAGGTAAGGTTAATAATAACTAACAGACACACACACACACATACAGACAGACATACACAGACACATTTAACGGTTAATAATAATAATAATTTATTTCAGACCCATTACATCCATATTAAAAATACATTAAAAGCTGAGTGTTAGTAACAAAAAACTTAAAATAATAACTAACACACACATACACAATGAAATACATCACTAACACACATATAGTGTAACTGATTTAATGTACATATATAACTAGTATATGCTAACGAATTTGTTAGAGTTCATCCTAGAATGGAATTATAGATAAATTAAAATTAATAATGAGCTCGTTAATAATACAGATAGATATTTATAATTCTCAGCGAGATCTACGGTATGACGTGTTTCATACATAATAAAAAATCATATAATCTATATATATGTTACTCTCATTTCTAAACTATTTATATTAAAAAACTCCATCAAAATCCGTTTAGTAGGTTTTGTGTGCAAGACCAACATACATCCGTCCACCTCACAAACATACGTATTAATATTATTAGTTGGATTTCATTAAATCAATTATAACAATATGATTTAAACGTCACAGGTTAAAAAAAGTAAGAAATCAATCAAAAAGGCATCGCAACAAAAAGAAACAAAGACGCCGAAAACAAAAACTAAAACGAGAAGAAACTAGGGTTAATATACTGTTGAAATATCGACTAGTAGATTACATAGAAATGTTATCAAAATCTGTTTAGTATGTGTCTGTCCGTGCGTGTCGGTGTGATTGAGGATTCAGGATACTAATAGTAGACATATGGTGTCGGTGTAAATGTGGTAGAAATTTAACTCATTCATATAATATATTATTGGTTCTAGTTCGGTGTATATGTTCGTATCGTCTTGTTGCAATTTGTATGAAATGTTCTTAATGTATGTTTTTGTGTTACAGAAAGTTAACGGAAACGAAAAGAAAGACACGGAACCGGAAACACCTATGGACGTTAACGAAACTGGTATGAATATGTCATATAATATGTTAATATATATTATTATTATGTAAATAATGAGGATTCTAACAAGATATTTAAGTCCATAATCAAGTTAAAAAGCTAAAATAGTATATAAGTATTGAATTTATACTTGTTACAATATGATCATAAGCATCGACTTATACTAATGGACATGCCGTAAGCGTATAATCTTCAGTAATTTTTTGGTTTGAAAAGAGTGAGACAGATGGCCTAAATTTCCGTCTAGCACTATCTCTATTTAGAGAGAGATAAAGATAGACCGAAACTTCGTTTCCTCTCTTTCTTTCGGAGTGCCACAATACTCATCTCTAAGGCATGTCCATTAGTATATGTCGATGATCATAAGTATTACTGTACAACCTGATTATTTATTATTTGAATTATTCGCCTACTGTTCATTATATGAACATTAGCTTTTCGCCCACAGCTTCGCCCGCGTGGAGTTCGCCTTACCAAGAGAACCTTTCAAAAGTCTTTGATAAAAACTATGTTCCTATCCTATGTTCTTTCTCAAGGTCAACTCTGTCTGAATCAAATTTCATTAAAATCAGTTCAGCGGTTTAGGCGTGAAAGCGTAACAGACAGACAGACAGAGCTACTTTCGCATTTATAATATTAGTAGAGATTAGTTTACATTCTAATTAAAATGAATGGCATAATATTTATATAATAATAATATACATCTACAGACAAACAAGAGGATATTGAAGATAAAATGGATACACAGGAACAAAACGAACAGACAACAACGGACAAACGGGACGAACAGACAGACACACAAGGGGACTCTAAAGATATGGATACTTCCAGCCAGGACACGACCAGCGAGACTGACGCGGTCAACGGGGGAGGGGAGGAGGCCTCCGCGTGATGCGCGCGCGCAGCGGTGAGACGACATACCGCTCGTAGGGAGACCAACATACATATATAGTGGGGTATAGTGCGAATACGCATAACTAGCATTGGATAATACCGAGTATCTACATTGGAAGTAGATCAGAAGAAGTTTAAGATGATATATTATCTATATTAATGAGTTTTATCGTATTTTTTCCATAATTACTAATTATATAGTGAAAAAATTACCTTAAAAGTCGTTAATATAGTAAATATTCCCGCTTAAACTTCTAATAATAATATGCTTCCAATATACATACACGATATTATCAAATGCTAGTTAATTAGATTTGCCTTATTCTCTACTATATATATTTTATGATGAGTCTACCTGTGAGTGTGTATGGTGGCGATGAGCACCAGTCGGTCCACATATCATTCGTCGCCACTCGGCCTTGCGATTTGATGATTTAATATTTATTACTATACGTCTAGATTGTAAATGTGAATAATGAAATTATATGATGTTGGACGCTCTGTGGCTCTCCATATTTGTTGATTATATATTATATTCTAGTACATATATATATTATATGTTTGTGTTATCTATGTATGTTTCAGTAACAGGTCGATAGTAGTGTACTGTAGTTTATCTGTTTCTAAATTCAAGGAATAAGACTGTTATGATAATTGAGTAGTAGATCGTATTATTATTTATAGTTTCCTCATGCCGGTCGTAACATAGTTGCGACGCCCGGCTCTGTCCGTGAGACGCTCGACCTAGGACGCACACAATCAAATCGCAAGCGCCAACATTACGTTCGTGTATAGTTAACATAATAGTTATAATTATTAATATTAAGAGCTACGTTAATCCGGTAAAGTGAAAAAGTTTTGTTTGGAAAAATCATTTATTTTATATAGATTTTTTTTGTGCATGTTTCTAAAAGTACAAAACGTACCTATTTTTATTTTATTTTTCCTTTCACGACATTATTTCTTAATTGTTAAAATAAATGAAATATAATGTATTGTGTTTTCCTAATAAAATTGTAGTGTAGATTTGAGTTTTATTTACCATAGCATAGTATATATAAGGGTATTATAGTAATACAATGACACAGTATTCGCTTTTATTATAATAACAGTAAATACAAATAAAACATATACATTTATTTACCTTTTTTTTTATTTAGTTACTTGCAGACACTTGAAATTTAAATCTTTCAACAACACTATTTGAATAGAAAGAAAATAATATTATTACAAAATAAATTGAGCTTCTGACGAAATAAAAATCAATGTCTCAAATAGTGAGCAGAATTAATGAAAATGTTTCTTTTTTTATATAAAGAATACAAAATATGTAACATTAATTATTATTATAATTGGCAATCGTTATCAATCGACACTTATATTGTTACTACATACATTTAGATGTATTTTGTTATTAACAACTGGTGTTAACTGAAATTAATATAATATTACAACACTTGAATTTGAGTGAGATTCATTACTATGAAAAACAAATAGTAATTATAAGCTTTTTATATAACAAGCTGTATCATAGGAACATATTACAATAATTTCACTCGTTAAACTCAACACTGTATGAACATATTTTCATATTGATTTTGCTACATTAAAACAAATGTTTTGATATGAGCAAATTATAATTAATAATACGTTGAACCCGTGCGGGTATCTTGAGATGCGGTGAACAATATACGTCAAAGTGGTGTTTCATTCCTCGCCAGCATCTTCACAGTCTGAAAATAAATAAATATTAAGTCTGAAAGTAGTCATATGTAATAATGGATATAAAATATGCTTCCAAATAAAGAACTACAGTAGAAACTCCATTAATTAAAGCATAAGAGAGTGTTGTATGTTAAATGATAATTACCAAATATTCTACACCAAATTATACTTATTATTTTAATTCATGATTACCAATTCCAAATTACCAAATACATATTGTATTTTTTTTTTTAAATAAACATATAATATTAGGAACTCCATGAGCACAAAATCGGCTTTCCTTCATACATTTGATTATTCGAATGCCTATCGACAACAATTAGTCTGGTTAATAGAGTTTCTACTGTATATGCAAGTACTTAATGACAAACAGACAGACATGTATATACAGGGTGACTGGTGAATTACTATCGATATTTGACGATCATATATGACAAAATAAAAATTAATATAACATAAATATTAATAAACTTCTAAGTAAAGTTAACCAAAAGTTAAGTAATTAATTACGCATCGTGTGAACACCCTACAGATTAGGTATACACACACACACACACTCACTCGCGCGCGGCGGCGTGTTGTTGTATCAGCACGCCGCCGCACGCGTCCACACTTGGAACACTTGGAACGTGTCCACACTTTATTTATTTATACGGAAATTTGGTCAAAAATTAAGTACCTATTTTTTTTACATAATTCGAATGAGAATCATGTACCGAGTATTCTCCTTAAATATTGATAGTAATTCACCAGTCACCCTGTATAACTTCCTCTAAACAAACAAATAATGAAAATGAAAAATGTTTTTTAACAAAAAACACAACATAATACAAAGAAATGTCCGGTGGTGCCCACACTAGGTATTCCTGTGTCATGGGTACCAATTGATAGATTTACAGTACATGTTTAATGTTGTCGCTCGGCAGAGAATATAAATTACAAAACTATTCTTAACATTGCATAATTTAAGTTACAAGTGTTCTTATGTTAGTGAAAAGGTGCTATACTAAGTGCAAGAATAGTTCTTCGGTGGTATTGTAGGTTAATGAGGAGAGCCAAGGAATAATTTTTGTTTTGGCTTGTTTAACAGGGCAATGTTTAATGTCACAAGCGTTAGCTACTTTATTATAAATAAAAGACTCGATGAAGGGACTGAAGCGTCTGGCAAAAGAAGACTTAATTATGGGCAAGGGAAGCCTATAGTCCCGACGTTTGAGTAAATTTTTGAAGTCTTTAGAAGATACAGTTTTGTGATGAACTTTAAGTGCCATTTTTAATATGTATATTTGTCGTACGGTTAGAAGTTCACTTTCCTGATAAAGCTTGGTTGTTGAATAATCAAATGGTTTATTCAACATCGTTTTGAGCACTGATCCTTGGGCTCGTTCGAGATGAATTAAATGCGTTTTACAGGCGCATCCCCAGGAACTAATGCAGTAGGATATCAGTGATTGACAGAGAGCAAAATATACGGCCCGCAAAGTGCTTAATGATGCCGACTGGCGAAGTATTTTCATGATATTTATGACTTTGCGGACGCGACCAGAAAGAGATTTGATGTGATCTTTAAAGTTTAAATTTTGATCTATAAGAATTCCGAGATATTTTTGCTGCATCTATTTTGGTCAGTAAAATTCAATTGCATTTGTCACCGTGTACACAGGTGTAAAGTTTTAGTTTTAAAGTTGGATTGGGTGCAGAAATCGCTGTTTTATGGAAACAGATGTAATTAGTTTTAGATTTATTTAGCGTAAGGAGGTTGTATGTAAATAATAATATATCAAGTTACCTTCAAAATGTGCTCCATTACTATTCTCAAGTCTCATCTTTCTCAGACCGTCCGTGGCCTCTTGAGGTCCACTTTCCTCGGCATCTTCAAACTCTTCATCTGTAAATTATAAATTTATATTTAAGTTAAATCAAACTTAATTTTTCGGATACTACACGTCTTTATCTATACTAATATTATAAAGCTGAAGAGTTTGTTTGTTTGTTTGTTTGAAAGCGCTAATCTCCGAAACTACTGGTTCCAATTGAATAATTCGTTTTTTGTTGGATAGTCCAGTTATCGAGGAAGGCTGTGGGCTATATAACATCACGCTACGACCCATAGGAGCAAAGATATAGTGGTAAATGTGTAAAAAACGGGAGAAATTATTTCATCTTTGAAGTCTTCCGTTGCGTGCGCCGTGAAAACGGTTCAAGATACACAAAAAATATGTATTAAAGAATAATAGCTCTTTTAATGATCTAAAAAACAGTCCGCGACAGTATATGTCTATCTTTTAAGATTAACTCACAAAAACCGTTTTTATGGTACCTAATTTGGTCAAAATAATTTGTTTAAGTTGTATCAACATAATAATATTAATCTTTATTTAAATAATCAAATTAATATGTTGTTGGTTAAGAGTACTTCATTGTGAATTAAAAAAAACATAGATTTTATCCTGAAATTCTACGGGAACTCGACCATTCCGAAAACCCCGCAAGAACGGGAACTATGTGGGAAGAACCAAAAATCTGCCGGAAGTCACTATTCCACGCGGACGTAGTCGCGGCAAAAGCTAGTATCACTATAACCTACTAAAAGACTTGGGCTTGTCCAGAACTAACATTAATACATTCTTTGAACGCACATCGAAGGCAGTCCTAGTAGGTTCATTTCATATTAGGTAGAGAGAGGAGCTTGGACAATGGACGTGAACGTATAACGCATTAGATAGGGTCCCTTAAACCTACACCTGGGTCGCAAGTCCCAGTCACTGTTGAAGCTCCTCTCACTACAACGATGGACCCGACACACGCACCGTGAATACATGGAATGATGAGAGGTTTCGTCTCTCTATATATATTAAACCTACACCTGGGTCGCAAGTCCCAGTCACTGTTGAAGCTCCTCTCACTACAACGATGGACCCGACACACGCACCGTGAATACATGGAATGATGAGAGGTTTCGTCTCTCTATATATATTAAACCTACACCTGGGTCGCAAGTCCCAGTCACTGTTGAAGCTCCTCTCACTACAACGATGGACCCGACACACGCACCGTGAATACATGGAATGATGAGAGGTTTCGTCTCTCTATATATATTAAACCTACACCAGGGGCACAAGTCCCAGTCACTGTTGAAGCTCCTCTCACTACAACGATGGACCCGACACACGCACCGTGAATACATGGAATGATGAGAGGTTTCGTCTCTCTATATATATTAAACCTACACCTGGGTCGCAAGTCCCAGTCACTGTTGAAGCTCCTCTCACTACAACGATGGACCCGACACACGCACCGTGAATACATGGAATGATGAGAGGTTTCGTCTCTCTATATATATTAAACCTACACCTGGGTCGCAAGTCCCAGTCACTGTTGAAGCTCCTCTCACTACAACGATGGACCCGACACACGCACCGTGAATACATGGAATGATGAGAGGTTTCGTCTCTCTATATATATTAAACCTACACCAGGGGCACAAGTCCCAGTCACTGTTGAAGCTCCTCTCACTACAACGATGGACCCGACACACGCACCGTGAATACATGGAATGATGAGAGGTTTCGTCTCTCTATATATATTAAACCTACACCTGGGTCACAAGTCCCAGTCACTGTTGAAGCTCCTCTCACTACAACGATGGACCCGACACACGCACCGTGAATACATGGAATGATGAGAGGTTTCGTCTCTCTATATATATTAAACCTACACCTGGGTCACAAGTCCCAGTCACTGTTGAAGCTCCTCTCACTACAACGATGGACCCGACACACGCACCGTGAATACATTGAATGGTGGAAAGTTTCGTCTCGTCTTGGCAGGCAGATGAGATAAAACAGTGTTTTTTTTCAATCTGTGGGTCGAGACCCCTTTGGGGGTTCGCGAAAACCTAATTAAAGAGTCGCCGGCAACAAGAAAACGTTCTAAACTATAGTAAAAACCAAATGTAATAAAAAGTATGGGCTTGTTTATTTTTCATGCCTGACATGCTTTGCTTGTGGTGCTAGAATTGAAATATTAACTATCAAATCACCTTGTAATTGAAGTTTATTTATTTTTTGTTTTTATTGCAGAGAATATCTTTAACTTTGACTAAGCTTTTTAATTTAATATTTTCTTTGTCTATTACATAAGGGGTCGCCCAAACTTTTCAACCAATAAAGGGTTCACAATATTTCAAAGATTGAAAAACACTGAGATAAAAAAACTTTCTACCATCAATAGTAATTATTTACTAAAGTACTTATTTACAAATTCAAACTATACTTATGATATAGCTGTAGTACTAACTATTAAATAGTTTAATCATAATTATCCTCCTAATATTATAATTGCGAAAGTTTGTGAGTCTGTATGCATGTTTGTTACTTCTTCACGCTCAAACGGCTGAACCGATTCTGATAAAATTTTGTATATAGGAAGCTGACGTCCAGGAATAACACATAGGCTACTTTACATCCCAGAAATCCGCGGGTAACACCGCGGGGCGCAGCTAGTATATATATATATATATATCTCACCGTCATCAAAATCCTCTCCATCCATATAAGGGTCTTCGTCCACCTCGTCAGCAGGGTCGGGATGTAAAGCCTGTCCTTGTATCATTGCTGTATACATTGGATTTAAATCTGCCTCATTCTGTGGTATGAATCTGAAAACAAAAGTTATATAATACTATAGTATTCAATATAACTATATTAAATTCGTCATGTATGTATGTCTAAGTATCAACACTGAATGACAGTAACTAATATAATAAAGTGGTGTACCTACACTTGACATCATATTATTATTTTAACAATACAGAGCATAATTTGTTATGCTCTGTATTGTTTGACAATGATTTCTTATAATATATAGTTTTCAATGAATATTTGTTTCATGAGTCATTAAAATTAGATGGAATCAAAAAGATAATCATAAAATAATTAAGGATTTATTTTATTTAAAAAATCAATTCAATATGGTCTCATGTTACAAATTTGTTAAGTCTAATTTAGTGTTCCTTCCCAATTTTTAAGTATAAAATTTTCCTTACAATTACAATTACAAATATTTCTAGACAAACAGAATAAGTAACATTCTGTGTATTTCCAAAAGAAATTACTTTATAGACTGAATTAAAAAAATACATATTCTTACTCAGTTACTAATAAAAACTAGTTTTATTAATTAAAATAATTTCAACTGGCAAATGTTTACAAAATTAAAGTCAATAGATATGTATTAAAATTATTTTGTTACTATATACAGGGTGACTGGTGAATTACTATCGATACTTGAGGACGTGATATTTGATGATCATATATGACAAAATAAAAATTAATATAACATAAATATTAATAAACTTCCAAGTAAAGTTAACCAAAAGTTATGTAATTAATTACGCATCGTGTGAACACCCTACAGATTAGGTATACACACACACACACACGCGTGCGGCGGCTTGGTTTTGTATCAGCACGCCGCCGCACGCGTCCACACTTGGAACCCTTGGAACATGTCCACACTTTATTTATTTATACAGAAATTTGGTCAAAAATTAAGTACCTATTTTTTTTACATAATTCGAATGAGAATCATGTAACAAAGTATTCTCCTTAAATATTGATAGTAATTCACCAGTCACCTGTATAATAACAAGCATTAAAAAGTACTTTCAAATTAACTCTATTTTAATCTATAGTTTAAGAGGAAAGATACTTTAGACTTAGAATTTATTTATTTTTTATAAAATTTTATTTATAATGTGTTACCTCAACTGTGTGATTGGTTGATCGTCAGCATCAAACTCATCATCGTCATCATCTTCATTACTCGGAGCATCGCCGCTGCCTTGCTGGTTTAATTCTGGAAGTCTGTAGTGAAGACAAAAGTTATACAGTGTAAACTCCATATAACGACACTCGATTTAACGACAAACTCTCTAAAGCGTCGAAATCATTTGACTTTGGTTGGTTTAGCTTGTCTACCATACAATGATACACTCTATATAGCGTCACAGCCACTCTCAATAACGACAAAATTAAGTAATAAAAAGTACCCTTTAAGTTGCTAAAATTAGTAAAAAATGCGCAGCTGTGTACGTTTTTTTGTCGCTTTGTTATCCTAGCCCGCAATAAACTCCACTGTCGTAATCATGCATACCAAACTTTCTAAGAAATTCGTTCTTCACCAATATGCCTCAATATCGCAAGATATGAATAAAATGCGTAAAAAATACATAAAACAACATTACTGATGCAGCAAAACACGTTAAACAAAAACAACAGACTTCATAACATTCTTTTTTATGTACGTAAGTACTAACAGTAGTCTGAAACAAACTTTGTCTTTTTCTAATTCTGATTTTTCTTCCCTCTATTTAACGGCAACTCTCTATAACGCACTAAAATGCACGGTCCCTTCAGTGTCGTTATATAGAGTTTACACTGTATATATAAAAATTTAAATAATATGAAAATGTTATTGTGTAAACTCTCATATACAATAACCTTTAAATTGTCAAGGGGAATAAAACCATTATAATTGTTGTGTGACTAAAAAAATAAACATATCGTAAAAAAGTTGACATTCTTATATGAATGAGATAACAAATAGATGTCTACACAATTTATATAACAATTCTTACCTTAGCTCGTAATTTAGAACCATATACAAGGCCGGCGATGGCTCCCTTTGAACCGCGTGTAGTGATATACTAGGATACAAGAGCGATATAGTCGGCGCTGCTACTCCAGAAGTACTGACGCCGCCGCCCCAGACAACATTACTAAAAACACGAGAGGGTTTGTAACAAAAATAATCAAATAATAAAGGTACGATATAACAGACTTACTTTTCAGTGATATATAATGTGGCGGTGCCCAATTCTTGGTCGTTGACGAGTAACTTAGTGGATGGACTCTGAAATAACACACCTTCGACCGGCGCAGCAAATGTCGAAGAAACTACAACCATTTTCACCAATGTGCTCGTTTACTATAATATATGTTTTACAAAAACTAGTAATTAACGTATTTGTATGGGAAAAATCGCAGCTATAATAATGTAAAAATGTTATTTAAAATAAGGCAATAAAGTAAATCAAATGTATGTCTTTCGTGTTTCATGTGAGAATCGCAAAATGTTAACTTTGCTTGAAAATATTATATTGTCAATTTTATTGATACCACAGATATATAAAATAAGAATAAAAAATCATAGATTCTTCTTTTATGATAACTTTCATATATAATAGTAATTTTATATATATTTTTATCTAGAAATATAAAACCATATAGTAATTTATAATTCTTCAATGTAAATTTAGAAAAATATATATATTTAGATCCCATACTGTCTTTTCTAAATGGCAATATCGCGTTTATATAGTAGTAGTATTGAGTTAAGACTTCAGAGTTCAGTGTTCACTCGAAATTTATCTGACAGTACTTACAGATACGCATTATATGACAAAAATCGATTTTCAACACATATTTTCAGTTTTACATTAGACTTCGTTTTTTATAAACCTTGTAAAGGAATAGCTCTAATATAAATTTTACCGTGTTGCTAAAAATTTGTTCCTATCAGATTTATAACAAAATAGGAATTGGAAAATGTCTCCTCTTCATGGAAAAGACGTAAGTTTTTCTATTATACTTTGAATTTAATCGTAAATTTAATTCCATATTGTGCTAATTGTGTGTTACAACCATTTATATAATTTCTATTAAATTCTTAGACATCTTTCATTCATAATTTGGATTTCATACAAAATGGTGTACGACATTAGTTGTCGTAGTTGTGTTGATAAATTATACAATCAACTAATTTATAATTGTATGATAAATTCCAACAGCCTCTCGCAGGACTGGGCGATGAAACAGAAAACTTTTATATATTAGAAAAGCAAGTATTTGCTGAACCTATAAAAGCCAATGAGACTGATTCAGAAATAGGTTTGTATTTATATTATATAAAACATTATAATATAATTATTTTATGCATATTTTCATTCATTATAATATATGATTATTCCAGTGGTAATAGATAATAATTTCACATTCTTGGATAAAATTACTGTAGTGAAAAGAGTTGGTCGGAGAAACAAGTATCACATAGATATTGAGGATACCACCAAACCTAAATGTCCAGAGGTAAAGTATTCTATAATGTTAAAACTTCACCAATAAGAAAAAATACACAGTTTGACAAGAGAAATCCCTACTTCACTACTAATATTATAAATGCGAAAGTAACTCTGTCTGTCTGTAAAGCTTTCACGCCTAAACCACTGAACTGATTTTAATGAAATTTGGTACAGACAGAGTTGACATGAGAAAGAACATAGGATAGTTTTTATCCCAGACTTTTGAAAGGTTCTTTTGGAAACGCGATATATGTAACTTAACTACATGCGGGCAAAGCTGCGGACGGAAAGCTAGTTATAAAATAAATACCTTATAATAATTAGTTGTAAATGTATTTAATTCTGCTATATTCTTGTAGAGTGCCTGTCTTAAAGAGTTCCCCTCAATAAATCTCCTAAGAACCCACATTCGTAGAGTTCACTGTGCCGAGAATAACTTTGTATGTGATCAATGCGGGGCTCGGTTTTCAGCTAAATATCTTTTAGCAAGACACATTATGGTTCATCAAGAGAAAGTTGAATGTCCCATATGCTTTAAAATGTTGAGCAAACGAACTAGGTATGTATATTATGTAGAATTTAAGCATATTATATAGTATATACTTTATTTATATACAATATTTAGGTTATTAATATATAATACTGGTTTAATTGTATACAATGAGATCTAAGACAAGGTAGATGATAAATACCAAAACCCAACAGACATATACGTATAGTTTTAAAAATAATTAAATAGGTGAATAGGACATCCTAAATTATTACTTTTATTATATTTGTAGGCACCTATCCAAATTTATAATAGTTCAAGCGTCCATACTGCATTTACAAGAAATTATTATTTTTTCTTTAGGGTTATCCATAAAAGATGACTTTTAATGATAATACAGACTGACTTTATAACACATTTATTTGTGTACTTTTCCCATTTTGTATGATCAATAAAGTATAAATTTAAAAATCTGATGCTAATGCTTTATCTAAACAAGAAGAACTTAATGTTACTATTAAGAATTAAAAGAAAATGCTGACAAATACAACTTAATAGTTTTTTAATAAATAGTGTAAAATATTGTAGTTAGGACCAATTATTATTATATGTACTATATATTATTATATATATGTATATAATATATTTTTTATTGTATATATATTTGAATACACATATATTAGTATCTAATATTTAATTCTTGTTCCCAGTCTGTCAGTACACCTCCGTTCCCACAGCAACACTCGGCCCCACAAGTGTTCAGTCTGCGGTAAATGTTTTGTACGCAAGTCAACACTCAACATACACATGAAGATTCACAGCTTGAAGTGTGGGAAGTGCAAGCGAGGGTATATATATAGATTGTTATATATTAATATTGAAATCAGTATTAATAATACATATACAGGGTGACTGGTGAATTACTATCAATACTTGAGGACGTGATATTTGACGATCATATATGACAAAATAAAAATTAATATAACATAAATATTAATAAACTTCTAAGTAAAGTTAACCAAAAGTTATGTAATTAATTACGCATCGTGTGAACACCCTACAGATTAGGTATACACACAAACACACGCGTGCGGCGGCGTGGTGTTGTGTCAGCACGCCGCCGCACGCGTCCACACTTGGAACACTTGGAACGTGTCCACACTTTATTTATTTATACGGAAATTTTGTCAAAAATTAAGTACCTATTTTTTTTTACATAATTCGAATGAGAATCATGTACCGAGTATTCTCCTTAAATACTTAAAAAGTCATCCTGTATAATATTATAACAAGTTTTGCAATTCTTAATAATGATTTTATATAATTTTTTTAACCTATTTTGCCAAGTGAAATGATGTATGCTAAAAATATTATTTGAATTATAAGTTTGAAATCACCAACCCGTCTTACAAGCGTAGTGATTAATGCTCAAACCTTCTCCATGTGAGAAGAGACCTTTGCTCAGCAGTGGGCTCTGATAGACTGATGATGATGAATATTTCATAAATGACTTCTGATTTTAGTCAATAAAAGAAATACAAATGAATGAAATTAAACTTCTTTTCCATGCATTATAATTATATGTATGTTAGTGTTATATTTATAATAATGAACATTTTCTTCATCAGGTTTGAATCAATCAGTCAACTTTCGGAGCATTCAACAGTTTGTGAAAAATAACAACAATAAGGTAAGTGTTACTATACAGAAAAAAGTTTTAGATGTGGAAAAAACACTTTCTTCTACCTGGCAATTTCCCAGCTATAGCCAGGGTCTGCCTTTCAAGTTGTGAATAAAATTGGCTATTTGTTTTTACGACCGGCCGCCTGCCTGACATTAACCCTCTTTGGAAATGCATTAATCAGTGATGTCTAAATACTCTTAGAAAGTACATATGACTCGGAAAAATCACATTGGTACTTGTCAGGATCGAACCCGCGCCCTTATGTATGAGAGGCGGGCCTTTTAACCATTAGGCCACCACTGACTAGATGTGGAAAAATCTATTTACTTATAATTAGTTTATGCCCGCGACTTTGTCCGCTTCATTTATATGAACAACAATTTTCTATGTGTAAGAAAACAGACCATTATGTATGTAGTGTTTGTTTTTCTAAGAATTACCTACAAAATATAGTAAAATATAATCTAAATTCTAATTAGTATTTTTGACGCCATTCGAGCGCAACTATACAATCATACAATTTTATAGGTACATATACTCATATGTATATTAAAAGATTGGTAAGTAATATTCAGGCTGTATATTTAATACGGTTACATACGTACAAACATATAATAATATGAGTATATTTAAGAACGAAATGAATTGTGTTGGACGGTAGACGCAAACATAAGCCACAATAAATTTAGTAAAAAAAAAATACATTTTTTTATTACTAAATATTCGATTCCATAATAATATAAATTATTATTGTCTTATTCAAAATTTTACTTCTTAAGTGTATTTTTAATTGAGGAAAATCTCTAATCTAAGATTATACAAAAAAAAATGTATGAGAATGTTTTGCGTACGTTGTGAACGCTCCTTAAATATTTATTCTCTTTAACATATTTAAATTCTATAACTTCTTAGATATAATTAAACGGGGAAATAAAAATATACGTATTTAAACATAATTCAAACAATACATCCACGTGTAATTCCGATATTATTGACGTGACAAACTGCACAAGTAGCGGACATTCACAAAACTTTCTCATTTATAATGCTAGAACTTAAATTACTGTTACGTAAACAATGTTACGACGCCATCTTGTTGATTACAATACACATCTTATAATACACGAGTTTTTAAAAATTGTCTCGATATATTTATACATAATTGTTAAAAAAATTACATTATAATTTCTTAAATTATTTCATTTTGTTTTTTATATATTAAATTAATATGATATTGTTGATTTGATTTTAAATTGCGTGCTTTGTAGACTTTCAATTGACACAAACATTTATCGACGCTCTGATTGGCTCGTATTGTTAGACGCCATATTAAAACTGGTATTGTTTTAACGATATTTCTAATTTCTATTTACATTGACTGTGTGATAATTTAAGACAATAGTAATATGTTTTGCAATACCGTTATGAATGTTTTACAATTATAATATTAAGAGGAACATAATACAGTTTGAATTAAATGGAAGAAGATAATTTATATGTACGAGTATATACTTGAAGCCATTATTTCATATAGACAATAAAATTCAGTCGTCTTTTACGTAATATATGTTCTTATATGAAAAATTATATTTCAATTATTTTATGGATAGAATGTTATTTCACTGAAAAATAAAGTAAGTCTTAGTGATTTTATTTTTTGTTTTGTTTCCGCATTCAAATCTGATATCATATAAGGATGAAAGGTTTTTTTATATAGATATATGTATTTTGTGAACTAAACTTCAAGTAATGAATCATACTTACCTACTAAATAAAACTGTATTGGTGTTCATAGTGAAAGTTTGTTCGTTGAATTTAGTATGAATGATCCATTTTAAACCCAAAATTGTTAGCCTACTTATTAAAAAAATATTTACAATATTGTATTTTATTTTTTATACTTATATATTTAAAGTAAATTTTTTTTTAAACCTATAACGTTTAGTTTTACAAAACAAATATATTTTTGTTTAATGTTGCTATTTAACTTTTATTCTAGCTTTTCTATTATCTGGTTTTATTGGAAATTACATATTTTAATGAACGTTAATTATCAGATGAGCGTGAAAGTCACTTACAAATTAATTTTACTTTTATTCTTTACATAAGTTTATTAATCTAAGATATTTGACGTTAATTAGAAAGCTAGGTTTTTATTAATGAATCTATGTGTTTTATCGAAAAAATTTCCGTACCCTATACATACCACACTACCTTTAATATACTCAAAGATTAAGTACGAATAAAACTATTCTCATCTCGTCTGTCCGTGATCACGGTTGCTGCAAAGTACCTAACTGAAACGTCTTAAACATGTAGTCAACATAATTATCCGAAAATATTAGTTTAACTAGTTTTTGCCCGCGACTTCGTCCGCGTTAATTTCGTCATTAGTAATATATGTATAGCTGATCGGGCGAACTCTATTCCGTCTTCAATAACCCGGTATTGACATATTAGCTAGTTGTCAAGTCTAATGTCAAAAAATCGTTTGTGTGGGAAATAGAAAAGGGCTGTTTTTAGGGTTTTTCCGGCAATTATTCCAATTTTTCTCACCTTTTAAACCTTCCCTGGACTTCCAGGAGTATTTCAAGACTAAAATTAGCCAAATCGGTTCAGCCGTTCTCGGGTTTTAGCGAGACTAAGGAACAGCAATCCATTTTTATATAGATACTAGTTTTTGCCCGCGACTTCGTCCGCGTTAATTTCGTCATTAGTAATATATGTATAGCTGACCGGGCGAACTCTATTCCGTCTTCAATAACCCGGTATTGACATATTAGTTAGTTGTCAAGTCTAATGTCAAAAAATCGTTTGTGTGGGAAATAGAAAAGGGCTGTTTTTAGGGTTTTTCCGGCAATTATTCCAATTTTTCTCACCTTTTAAACCTTCCCTGGACTTCCAGGAGTATTTCAAGACTAAAATTAGCCAAATCGGTTCAGCCGTTCTCGAGTTTTAGCGAGACTAAGGAACAGCAATCCATTTTTATATATACAGGGTGACTGGTGAATTACTATCGATATTTGAGGACGTGATATTTGACGATCATATATGACAAAATAAAAATTAATATAACATAAATATTAATAAACTTCTAAGTAAAGTTAACCAAAAGTTATGTAATTAAATACGCATCGTGTGAACACCCTACAGATTAGGTATACACACACACTCACACAGACGCGGCGGCGGCGTAGTGTTGTATCAGCACGCCGCCGCACGCGTCCACACTTGGAACACTTGGAACGTGTACACACTTTATTCATTTATACGGAAATTTAGTCAAAAATTAAGTACCTATTTTTTTTACATAATTCGAATGAGAATCATGTACTGAGTATGCTCCTTAAATATTGATAGTAATTCACCAGTCACCCTGTATAGAAGATATAGATATATTTAAATGAATACTCGCGAAAGTTAAATCTCATAAGATAAAGTATACTCAAGAAACAGAGTGGAGGAAGTGCTCACATTAAGGATTCTACCTGTCTCCGAAAAATCCTTGTTTGTCCGAAGAAAGACAGACACACACTGACATGAAAATAGTAGATAGATTATTTTTATTTACAGATACAAGGAATATTCATTATTAAAAAGTAAGCAGTTTTTGTAGCGAAAATGTAGTTTTATTTATCATAATAAGGTATAACTAGAACTGTTAATTAAATACATCATAGTACTATCGAGCATAGATTGAACTTAACTTAAAATAATAAAGGTAAAATTACATTGTATTTTTCCAACATTATCCTAAAGAACTATTTATTACGAGATCTTAATATATGCTTAAATTAGAGCAATTCATGTATTGTACTGAAATTAATTATGGACTTTAGCAAAGAAACAATCATTATTCTTGGGAGACTTCAGCGCACCTAAGCTAGTTGCGACAAAAATCTATTTTAACTGATTCATAATCTAGGTTTACATTAGGTTATTTGTTATTAACCCATTTTAAATGAAACTAATAATGACATTTTTAAAAATTGTAGAGCCTAGCTGTGGTCAAGTTACTACAGCTCGAACATGGTCTGTCTCGACCGTAAGTACCACCCTCTCACTGAAGATCGGCGTGAAGTAGACTTT